ATTAATTCCACTTCAAGCATATAAATACAAACACTCACCTTATAATTTTTTCAAAGAAACAAGGTGTTGCAGAGATTATAACAAATTCAAAAAATTTTCCAGAGAAGTCTATTTGACCAGGTAATCCAAAACATTGCTAGATGACTTCCTATTGTTTGGTAGTAAGCTCTTGTTACCAATCAATCTAAAGAAAAACTCTCAAATTCTTATTTTTAATCAATATATATATGAAATGTTCCTTCACTTAGTAGTGTTCCTTCACTGGTTGGTTTACCCTACGTATTTTTGAACAAAATGCATAGTTTCAAAAGTGATGTGGAGGGAGAAAAGTAGGATAAAGATGTTCGTTGGCTGCTGGTAGGATTCGAACCGAGGACCTCCGGGTTCGTAGTAGGGTGCACTAATCACAACAGTTGTACACATCAGTCCAGGTAGTAGAGTAAGGAATCTCTATTTAGTGGCCGCTGCAGAGACGTGCATCATTCCATTTGCTTAATTTTTTTTAAATATATATAACGAAATAAACAAACTGTGAAATTAAAAACGCCGGTCCATATTAAAACCATGTCTGTACCATTTGAATTTATAATTAGTATGTCTTGATGTGTTATTGAGGAGGCCACCCCATAAAAGCTTCCTAAATCTCCCTGCTATGAGGTGTACAACCATGGTGGTTGTAGCATCCTGCTACGAACCCTGAGGTTCTTGTTTCGAATCCTACAGCCAGTTAGCGAACATTTCTCCTACCACATCACTTTTGAAACTATGCAATTTGCTCAAAAATGAGCATCATGTTGTTTCAATTTTGAGTACATAGATTTTTGAAATATTATTTGTTTCAAAGTTATTATGATACATTTTTGCTTAATTATGAGAAAAACTTTTTTACAGAACCGCCATCTGGGAAATATGATCCCAATAGCTTAGGCACGACGAAAGTTTTTACCCTTTATTGCTCATTTAAATTTTTGTATATATATTTTGCATCTCTTAGCAACATTTTAAGCAAATCAAAAGCTTTTGCATACAATTACAATTTTTATTCAGCCGAAGATATATGAGTTAAAAGCATTTTTTAACAGAAAAACAATAATACTTTCATTTAACCATGGTCAGAAAAGTTTTGGGTAAGTTTTTTTACAATGTTTTGAACTATGTAGTTAATCTTGAAAAATATAATTCCCGTAGGGCATATATCAATAATGCTAAGACTGACCTTTTTCGATTAACCTTTTCTAAGAAACTACTCATGATACAGCTTTGAAATTTTTGGGAAATATTTGAGATTATATCAGTTGTATATTGTGATAATGTTTCGGCGTTGAAAGAAATAGCTTATGAGTTATGAACGATTTTTGATTAAACTTCTTAAAAAGTTCATGTTTTTTTAAAAAGATTTCTTGCAAAGTATTCTTTGTATTAACAGTTATCACAGTGTAAACATGTATATGCTAATATTCTGTGATGAGAAACTGAAGCAATATCTTGTTTAGATAGTGAGAAAAGGTGCATCGATAAAGGTGAGTTTTAGCATTATTGGTGCATGCCCAACCGACTCCCCTTAAAAACGTTTTTGAAATCTAATAACTAAACTATTTAAATGATGTTACTCAAGTTTTATTTTTTATTTTGTCTTTTAAAGTTATGAAGTTCACAAAAGAAGTATTTATATATCTAAACAGCTATAAGTTCACGAAAAAGTATTAAAACTGCTTTGTGTACCTTACAATACAGAAACTTTTTGAGCTTTACTAAGTGACGTTATTAAAAAAAAAAATCAAATTCTGCACGAAATTACCTTTAAATAAACGAATTTTATAATTATGTGAAAAAACTTGTTGATCATTTTAATGGATTACGTCGAAATACGTAAAAAGTAAAATTTATTTTTAAGACCTAAACATTCTGCAGCTGCTTTCCTTCCTAAGCTATAGGCAAAGAATATACCTAGGGGAGGAAGGCTAGCTTCCGTAGGTATGATGTAAACCAGTCCTCTAAGGTTTGGCGGGATCCCTTTGTATAAAGTATTTAGGGGCACCCAACAGAAGTTCTAGTAACTGGTTTCCACTCTCCTCTCCCCCCAATTGGGTTGGGTAGAAGAAGAAAAGTTGTATATTTTTATTTAATATTCGTCTGCTCTACATTTTTTATTTTTTCACTATTGATAAACGGTGTTGTGCTGTTAATAAAGATATTCTTTTGAGAAACCATTTATATCATCCATGTTGATTAAATCTGCTAGCACATTTTGGCATAGAAAGAAAGAATAAAACGGCGATTGGTTGGCGGCAGCGTTCCCAACTATACATTTAGAGTTACCCAACAACCGGTTCACAGGTGACGTACCTCCTAACAGTTACTTTGCTTCTTATGCGCATGGGCTGGATCCATAGATATAAAGGAGAGATGTATCCATATATCCATAGATCCTATATTAGTACCTGGCTGGATCTTAGTACATATGATGCTCTGTTAAATCTCTGTATGTTTCTCACCCTGTAAGTTATTTTTCTGGTAGCATACCGAACATTCTTCGGCTATAGGGACCATGTTTTCCAAATTGCAGTTTGAGTACGGTATGCAGTTTTTGCGCATAAACGTATGCATGCATGTGCGTACGGACAAATTATATATTTCATCATTCACACGTAAAAATTCTACGTCTCGAACGTTGGATATTCAATTATCTAACTATATATAAAAATCAAATGATGGTATAGTAGTTTTCCATTGCAATTTAATTGGACGGAAAATCACGTGGCAGGATCCAGTTTACCTCCATTAATTTCCTTATTGGTTTGGTTGTCATCGGAATAAAATTCATATAAATCATGAAGGTATT